AGTTTGAGGTTCATTGCAGACAGGTTTCTGGGTTTATTGTTATTCTTTGTAATAATTGTACAAGAAGCAGACTGCTTGTCTCTTTCATATTTAATAACCAGTAAAGACCCAATTAAAAGAGAAATTGTTTAGAAATAAAAATAGCATTGCCAAGAAAAAAGTTTTCATTGGAAAAAATCATGTATAAATTAGTGGCATAGTTTGAAGTAGTGTACATTGTTTTAAAACTTTTTTTCAACTGAAACATAAGCTACTAAATATATCTATAATTACTTCCATAGTTCTCTTTATTCATTTATCTTTTAAAGATAAATGCCTAATTTAATGTCTAATTTAGATTTACAATATATGGTCTTGTTATACTCATATAGGGCTTTTTAAGTGTTGTACAAATGCTTATTCAACTTCTATTTCTTAGTGATGATAAAAATGCAGTAACGGGGTGGCTGACAAGATGGCCGAATAAGAACAGCTCTAGTCTGCAGCTCCCAGTGAGATCAACGCAGAAGGTGGGTGATTTCTGCATTTCCAACTGAGATACCTGGCTCATGTCACTGGAACTAGACAGTGGGTGCAACTGACAGAGGGTGAGCTGAAGAAGGGTGGGGCATTGCTTCACCCAGGAAGCACAAGGAGTTGGGTAATGCCCTCCCCTAGCCAAGGTAAGCCATGAGGGTAAGCCATGAGGAACGGTGCATTCCAGGCCAGACATTATGCTTTTCCCAAGGTCTTCACAACCCGCAGACCAGGAGATTCCCTTGGATGCCTACACCACCACAGCCCTGGGTTTCAAGCACAAAACTGGGTGGTTGTTCTGGCAGACACAGAGCTAGCTACAGGAATTTTTTTCATACCTCAGTGATTCCTGGAACACCAGTGAGACAGAACTGTTCACTCCCCTGGAAAGGGGGCTGAAGCCAAGGAGCCATGTGGTCTAGCTCAGTGGATCCCACCCCCACAGAACCTAGCAAGTTAAGATCCACTGGCTTGAAATTCTCATTGCCAGCACAGCAGTCTGAAGTTGACCTGGGATGCTCAAGCTTGGTAGGGACAGGGGCATCCTCCATTAGTGAGACTTAAGTAGGTGGATTTCCTCTCACAGTATAAACAAAGCCGCCAGGAAGTCTAAACTGGGCAGAGCCCACTGCAGCTCAGCAAAGCCAGTGTAGCCAGACTGCCTCTCTAGATTCCTCCTCTCTGGGCAGGACATCTCTGAAAGAAAGGCAGCACCCCCAGTCAGAGGCTTGTAGATAAAACTCTCATTTTCCTGGGACAGGTCATCTGAGTGCAGAGGCAGCTGTGGGTGCCACTTCAGCATACTAAAACATTACTGCCTGCCAGCTCTGAAGAGAGCAGTGAATCTCCCAGCATAGCACTCAAACTCTGCTAAGGGACAGACTGCCTCCTCAAGTGGGTCCCTGACACCCATGCCTCCTGACTGGGAGACACCTACCAGCAGGGGTCAACAGACACCTCATATAGGAGAGCTTTGGCTGGCATCTGGCAGGTGCTCCTCTGAGACAAAGCTTCCAGAAGAAGGAACAGGCAGCAATCTTTGCTGTTCTGCAGCTTCCACTAGTGATAACCCAAGTAAAGAGAGTCTCGAGTGGACCTCCAGCAAACTCCAGCAGACCTACAGCAGAGGGTCCTGACTATTAAAAGGAAAACTAAACAAACAGAAAGGAATAGCATCAACATCAACAAAAGGACATCCATACAAAAACCTCATTGGAAGGTCACCAACATCAAAGGCCAAGGATAGATAAATCCATGAAGATGAGGAAAAACCAGTGCAAAAAGGCTGAACATTCCAAAAACCAGAATGCCTCTTCTCCTCCAAAGTATCACACCTCTTCGCCAGCAAGAAAACAAAACTGGACAAAGTATGAGTTTGATGAATTGACAGAAGTAGGCTTCAGAAGGTGGGTAATAACAAACTCCTCTGAGCTAAAGGAGCATGTTCTAATCCAATGCAAGGAAGCTAAGAATCTTGAACAAAAGTTAGAGGAATTGCTAACTAGAATAACCAGTTTAGAAAAGAAGATAAAACAACCTGATGGAGCTGAAGAAAAAAGAATGAAAAGAAATGAACAAAGACTCCAAGAAATATGGGAGTATGTGAAAAGACCAAACCTACATTTGATTGGTGTATATGAAAGTGACGGGGAGAATGGAACGAAGTTGAAAAACACTCTTTAGGATCTTATCCAGGAGAACTTCCCCAACCTGGCAAGACAGGCCAACATTCAAAATCAGGAAATACAGAGAACACCCCAAGGATACTTGAGAAAAGCAACCCCCAAACAAATAATCGTCCGATTCACCAAGGTTGAAATGAAGGAAAAAATATTAAGGGCAGCCAGAGAGAAAGGTTGGGTTACCTACAAAGGGAAGCCCATCAGACCAACAGTGGATCTCTGCAGAAACCCTACAAGCCAGAAGAGAGTGGGGGCCAATATTCAACATTCTTAAAGAAAATAATTTTCAACCCAGAATTTGATATCTAATAAAACTAAGCTTCATAAATGAAGGAAAAATAAAATCCTTTACAGACAAGCAAATGCTGGATTTTGTTACCACCAGGCCTGCCTTATAAGACCTCCTGGAAAAAGCACTAAATATGGAAAGAAAAAACCAGTACCAGCCACTGCAAAAACATACCAAATTGTAAAGACCATCGACACTATGAAGAAACTGCATCAACTAACATGCAAAATAACTAACTAGCATCATAATTACAGAATCAAATTCACCCATAGCAATATTAACCTTAAATGTAAATGGGCCAAATGTCCCAATTAAAAGACACAGACTGGCAAACTGGATAAAGAGTTAAGACCTACCAATGTGCTTTATTCAGTAGACCCATGTCACACACAAAGACACACACAGGCTCAAAATAAAGGGATGGAAGAATATTTACCAAGCAAATGGAAAGTAAAAAAAAAAAAAAAAAAAAAAATCAGGGATTACAGTCCTAGTCTCTGATAAAACAGACTTTAAACCAACAAAGATCAAAAGAGACAAAGAAGGGCATTACATAATGGTAAAAGGATCAATGCAACAAGAAGAGCTAACTGTCCTAAATATATATACACCCAATACAGGAACACTCAGATTCCTAAAGCAAGTTCTTAGAGACCTACAAAGAGACTTAGACTCCCACACAACAGTGGGAGACTTTTACACCGTACTGTCATATTAGACAGATCAACAAGACAGAAAATAAACAAGGATATTCAGGATTTGAACTCAGCTCTGGACCAAGCAGACCTAGTAGACATGTACAGAACTCTCCACCCTAAATCAACAGAATATACATTCTTCTCCGTACCCCATCACACTTAGTCTAAAATTGATGACATAATTGGAAGCAAAACACTCCTCAGCAAATGCAAAAGAACGGAAATCACAACGAACAGTCTCTCAGACCAAGGACATGAACACACTTCTCAAAAGACATTCATGCAGCCAACAAACATATGAAAAAAGCTCAACATTACTGATCATTAGAGACATGCAAATCAAATCCACAATGAGATACCATCTCATACCAGTCAGAATGACAATTATTGAAAGGTCAAGAAACAGATCCTGACGAGGTTGTGGAGAAAAAGGAATGCTTTTACACATTGGTGTTAATGTAAATTAGTTCAACCATTATGGAAGACAGTGTGGTGATTCCTCAAAGATCTAGAAGCAGAAATACCATTAGACTCAGCAATCCTATTAGTGGATATATACCCAAAGAATATAAATCATTCTATTATAAAGATACATGTACACACACACACACACACACACACACACACACACACACATACATATATATACATATATATATATATATATATATATGTCCATTGCAGCAGTATTCACAATAGCAAACACATAGAATGAATTCAAATGCCCATCAATGACACACTGGATAAATGAAATGTGTATTTTATACACTTAAAGATGAGTCCATCATTGCTGCTGCAGCTGTTTACTAAGCCAAACTACAATATTTATTCTCTTTACTTTCTTTTTCTAAATTTGCCATGTATTCTTTTAGTGAGAATTATGAAAGACCAAAAACATTTTTGCAAAGTGCCTTTTTAAACATATGATTTGCTTTTAATTAAGATCTGTGCATGACAATGCCTTTAAAACCAATAAACAAAAGAACAAATTTTAAACATAATTTGCCCAAGATATTTGTAAAAGGAAAAAAAGCCCGATTTTCAGTATTTATAGCATCTATTTATTCTCTAAGCTTTCAAAGATTAATCTCAAAGGTATGACTCATTTGTAGAAGACAGAGAGAGAGGCCATCTTATGTTTTAAATAAGTTTTCATAACTTTTCTGATGTCACCTTTACTTTCTGGAACTCATATCTTCACAAAATAGCCGATTTAAAAATATTTCTAATGAACTGATTAACAGGGGGAAAAAGAATATGCATGGAACACGTTATAAACTTTACCATAAACAATTATTCATATCAAAAGACACTAACCTTAAAATGGTACAAAAAAGTGAGATAAAACCTGAATTACAGAATACAAAGTCAAATCTATTTAACAAAAAACTAGAATAAAAAATTAGCAAATACACAAAATACCACATAGCAGCACTATGTATTCACTCACAAAGGGGAAAAGCAGTGGTCCATGACCACTCAACATGGCTTGTTAAAGGAAAAAATAACAACAAACCAAACACACCCCCCCCAAAAAAAAACAGTACAAAAGGATCATTTTTCAACAATACGATCTACAACAAACAAAAACACAAAATGATTTTATGATGCTTTCTTAACGCAAAATATGCCCATCTTTAAACATATTAATGTTACTATATACAACTGTTTCCTGTATTTAATAGCCTTTTTTTTTTATTTACTTCCATGTGTTGAGCTTATACCTGTGAAGAGTTTCAGGTTGGCAGGCGGATGGGTGGCTTTTTTGTGAAATTAAAGTTTTAAACACTGGTCAGAAAATGTTCGATTGCCATTTCAACGCATGTTAATAGATACAATGATGCTTAAATCGCCATTTTCTTCAAAAAGCTGTACAGTGCCCGTGTCAAAGTTTAAGCAGTCACGATTCTTAATGGCTGTTGCTATGTTCTCATGAATAGATAGAGGGGTCGCTTCCCAAGTCAGTCGTCGGCGATGACGTCTTAGCTCAAGTCGGTAAACAAACCCCTCAGCTTCCTGGCGTGTTCCGATCAGTTGTACAATTGCGAAGAACTGCTGGTCACCATTGCGATTTTCCTGTTTCTGCAAGACTAACATGAAGTGAAAGCCATAACAGAACTGCATCATCACCCAATCAAAACCACCAATAAGATTAATGTTTGTAGCAAGAAAAATTATATACTCTCCCTTTAGGGTTATAACGTGGTCATGCTCATTCGTCAGATGACGCACTACAGCTTCCAGAGTACCAAGCCATTTACAGAGAGTACCAGGGCACGGGCAGGGATAAGGCCTAAACTTACAAACTTTTTCGTGATCTACTTTTTCGTTGTATGGCAGAGTTTTGTGACATCCAGAAAAGGCATATGTACACGGAAAAAGTACAGAGTTAGCTACTTTCTCCATAGCCAGGTTGCGAATGAATGCCAAGGGGCCCCGGCAAGTTGGACAAGAAGTGAGCTTCGATCGACAGCTGTTACAAACAATATGGCCTCTCTCACACTGAATAATTGGTGGTAACGCGTAATCTAAGCAGACCGGACACTCGAAGAGACTTGCCAAGTTGTTGTTGGATCTAGTCGTGCCAGACAGGGCAGGCACCTTCATGGGTGGCGCCGAGGTATATAATGTACCAGTCCGTTTACTCATTTCTGTGGGCGGAGAGCTCGCCTCAAAAGCCGGTTCTGTTACCAGCGTATTTAGTCACCAATCACCTCAGCACTGCTACCGCGGACAGCGTCACTGCCTGCCTCTTTGCGGTGAGGAAACTAACGGGACACCCTGGGCCGCCTCTGTCGCGGACAGCACCACTGCCTGCCTGTTTGCGTTGAGGAAACTAACGGGACACCCTGGGCCTCCTTTGTCGCGGACAGCACCACTGCCTGCCTCTTTTCGTTGAGGAAACTAACGGGACACCCTGGGCCTCCTTTATCGCGGACAGCACCACTGCCTGCCTCTTTGCTGTGAGGAAACAAACGGCACACCCTGGACCTCCTCTGTCACGCTCTAGAACGCGCCTAGCAAGGGCCTCCCGGTTCCCCAGGGGCCGCCGTCATCTCGCGAGTCCTGAAGCCCAGCACCCTATTGGCTGCTGTTATCACGCGATTCCTCGAGCTCAGCACCACACCGGCCACCGTAATCTCGCGAGTCCTCAAGCCCGGCTCCCCGCCGGCCACCGTAACCTTGCGAGTCCTCGAGCCTGGCTCCCCACCGGCCACCGTAATCTCGCGAGCCCTCAAGCCCGGCTCCCCACCGGCCACTGTAATCTCGCGAGTCCTCGAGCCCGGCTCTCCGCCTGTCGCCGTCATCTCCTGAGTCTTTTATCCCGGCTCCCCACCTGCCGCCGTCAGCTTGCGAGTCCTCGAGCCCGGCTCTCCACCTGCCGCAGTCATCTCCTGAGTCCTTTAGCCCGACTCCCCACCTGCCGCTGTCATCTTGTGAGTCCTCGAGCCTGCCGCGCTTTCTATTTTATTTTATTTTTAAAAGATGGGGTTTCACTATGATGGCCAGGCTGGTCTTAAACTCCTGACCTCAGGTGATCCACCCACCTCGGCCTCCCAAAGTGCTGGGATTACCGACGTGAGCCACCGCGCCCAGCCCCTTTCTTTCTTTTTTTTTTTTTGAGATGGAGTATGGCTCCGTTGCCGAGGCTGAAATGCAATGGCGCGATCTCGGCTCACTCTAACCTTGGCCTCCTGGGTTCAAGCGATTTTCCTGCCTCAGCCTACTGAGTAACTGGGATTACAGGCACGCGCCACCAAGCCGGGCTAATTTTTGTATTTTTAGTAGAGAGGATGTTTCATCATATTGGTCAGGCTGGTCTCGAACTCCTGACTTCGTGATCTGCCCACCTTGGCTTCCCAGAGTATTGGGATTACAGGCGTGAGCCACTGTGCCCAGCCCACGGGTTACTTTCTAACGGAAGTTACCACTGTTTGCAAATAAATAGCTTGAGAATTGCTTACTAAGTCTTAGAGATCAAACCAGAACTTACTGCTTTAGGTTTTGATGCTATCATTACGAATAAAACTTTCATTTGAATATTTATAAATGAGGTTCAACATTGAGGGATTTTCTCAGTAGCACATGGTTTTACGCCGGTAATCTCAGCTACTCAGGAGGCTGAGGCAGGAGAATTGCTTGAACCCAGGAGGTGGAGGTTGCAGTGAGCTGAGATCACCCCATTGCACTCCAGCTTGGGCAACAAGAGCGAAACTCCATCTCAAATAATAATAATAATAATTTCCTCAAAATTTTGTTTTAAATGGAATGTATTATCTTGAACTTCATTTTATACAGTGGTCTTTGAAAGTCACTCTCTTTTTAATCTTTTAGAAGATTGTCTGCAGACTATTTATTTTAAATTCTTACTCTTTCTAGAGTTGTGTCCTCAATCTTTTCAAAAATGAATATACACAGATGTAGATTTGTATATATATACATACATAGAATGGGCATATATCTACTATAGGCAATGTAGTATAAATATTTGCCTTCAAATTAGTCTGCTTTATCCCACAAAAGCCAGATGGGAGATTAAGAAAGCATTTCGGAGCAGTGAAAAAAATAGGTCAATAATTGTCTTCAGATGAATTGAATTGGAAAAAAGAGAAAAATAAGTCTAAAGACTGTTAATGAAAAATTGTACTATAACAGTAATGCATTTTTTACTGTTATTTATTGCGTTAAAAAATCTCAAACTTGGACAGGAGGAAAAAGTAATCTTAAGGCACATTGTTTACTACTATTGTTTATAATTCTTTTTTTAATGTTTGTTGATTGTTTATAAATGGTCATACCATTTAAATACATTGATGAAATAATCTCACTTCTTGGAATTTATCTTAAGAAAATATTTCAAACATAAGCAATATAGATTAAGAAAGTTTTGTTGTTGGTACTGTTACGGTCCTGCCCTTGTCTCATCATATTATTGGTATATGAAAAAGCTATTTTCTAGAAATTTATATTATAATTAGCCAATTTTTAAACTACATATATATGATTTTGACTTTCAATTTATCCTTTTAGATTTCCTAGATTGAAATAATATCTGCTTGAAATAACGGACATTTCCTTTTTCTTTTCTTTTTATAACTACATTTCCATTTTCTTTTCTTTTTATAACTAATTCATTAAGGTGTAAATGATATACGGAATACAGCACGTATTTATACAATTCTAAGACTTGGAACATAGGCAGACACCTGTGAAACCATCATCACAATCAAGGTAATAAGCATGTTCATCACTCCCAAAAGCTTCTTTGTGCTCATTTTTGTTTTGTTAGTTTTTGTGGTAAGAACACATTGTAAGACTTTCTCTTAAATGTTTTAAATGCAGAGTACAATATTAATTATAGGCAGAATGTTGTATAATATTAAATAGATCCCTTGAACTTATTCATCTTGCTTAATTGAAACTTTGTATCCATTGAACAACAGCTCCTCTGTTCTGAGGGGAGCAGGTATATGGAAACCTACCCCCAACAGCCAAGGGAGATGAGAGGTCTAAGAAGGAGGTTGACAAATCCAGCTTCTCCAAAAGAAATGTTTAATAGGGACTTGTGAACAGAAGTGATACCTTGGATGGCTGCAACACAGAGAATCACCACACCTACTCTCCAGAAAGTATCCTTTATACAGCAGACTTTTAGGGTAAAGACAGGGGCAGCTGATCACATCTCAGACTTTCTTGGGAAAACTGATGACAACTGAGGAAGTTAGATAAGCATCTTTATCAGGTGTTATCTATGCCACAGGCATTGTCTGAAGAACTTGCTGTAAAACACCTTGATATGCCAGAGTCAAGTATGGGTCATCATGGTGGTTTCACTTCAATATGGCATTATACCTGCCATGCCACAGGCTATTTTTTTTTACATTCTCATTTCCCCCTCCACACAACCCCTGGCAATCGCTAGTCTATTCTCTGTTTCTATGAGCTTGATTTTTTTTTAAGATTTCACTTGTGAGATCATACTATACTTGTGTTATTGTGTCTGGTTTATTTCATTTAGCATAATGTCCACTAGGTTTATCCATGTTATCACATATGGAAGAATTTTCTTCTTTTTGAAGGTTAAATAATATTCTATGATATACATGTATATAGAATATTACTTAACCTTCGTATATATATTCAAAACATATATATAATACCATATATTCTTTACCCACTTATCCCTTGATAGGCATTTAGTTTGTTTCCATATCTTGGCTGTAGTGAAATTTATTCACCACAGCCAAGATATGGTGTGTGTGTGTGTGTGTGTGTATGTGTGTGTATGTACATATATATATATATATGTACACACATACAAATACGTTTTTAAGATTGACGAATATTCCATGATATACATATATATGCCACATATATGATATATAAAATATTCTGTTTTATATGGCACATATATGCCATATATAATATTCTATGATATATATATGAATAATATAATAATATGGAATATTATTCAACCTTCAAATATATATATTTTTTTAATGTATACACCATATATTCTTTATCAGTTTATCTCTTGGTAGACATTTAGTTTGTTTCCATATCTTGGCTATGATGAATAAATTTGCAATGAAAATAGACATAGAGGTGGGATTGATGCATCGTATAGTACTTTTAATATTTTTTGGGAAATCTCTATACTGTTTTCCATAACAATTGTAGCACTTTACATTTCCACCAGTAGGGTACAAGGGTTCCAGTGCCTCCATATCCTCACCAACATTTATGATTTAAAAAAAAAATAGTTTATTTTTTAATAGTCATCTTAACATGTGTGAGGAGATATTTGATTGTGTTTTTTATTTGCATTCTCCTGATGATTAGTCATGTTGAGCACCTTTTTATATACCTTTTAGCTATTTGTATGTCCTCTAGAGAAAAAAGTCTATTCAGGTACTTTGCCCATTTTTTAATTGGGTTAATTTTTGTTTTCACTGTTTTCTGTTTAGTTGTATAAGTTTCTCATATATCAGATATGTGGTTTACAAGTATTTTCCCAAATCTCTAGGTTGCCTTTTTATTCTGTTGATATTTTCGTTTGCTGTGCAAGTGCTTTTTAGTTTGACTGTTTACAGGATTGTTGCATAGGTACATACATGTCTTGGTGGTTTGCTGTCTCCGTCCCCCCCCGTCGCCTACATCAGGCATTTCTCCCGGTATTATCCCTCCCCATCCTCCCCACCCACTGCTGTCCCTCCTCTCACCTCCCCAGCACCCCTAAAACTGTAGTTTCTTACTTTCAAGCTAATCCACATTTAGCCTCTAGCAATTTGTTGAAATTTCCATTTAAGTTTCTGACTAGTTTATGACTCCAGAGGCTTATTCTACAAGTAAGTTTATCTAGGCTGTGATCCTCTATGTTCATCTTTTTCTCCAGATTCCAGAGTAGCAATTTGCCCTGTGACCTGAATTATCCAACGTGTCTAATAATGCTATCAATTTTCAGTATGTCAAGCTTTTTACTTGTTTTAAGGATGGGAGCAATGACTTCATAGTTGTTTATTTATTTTATTTTTTTACTTTAAGTTGTTTGGTAAATGTGAAGATCATGCAGGATAGTTACATAGGTATACACATGCCATGGTGTT